ATACCAAGTAACTCTCAACTTTTTATCATTATAGCAACTTTTGATCATCATATGTGCAACGATACGTATTCAGTTGGGCTCCTTTCGAGCTGTAGAATTCATTTTGGGCCTCCGTATGAATCCGTTTTTGGTGTTCTTTTTGCTGGACGTTCGAGGTGTTAAGATTCCTTATTTTATTTATTTATTTATTTAACGCAGGTGTTGAGATTCTATTGCTGTTTTTTTGTTACCATCAAACATCACCACTAGACATTTCAACCTCACAACATGAATGTTGTAGCCGATTAGTAACACGCCTAGTGGTATTCTTCTTGTAAATATATTGTTGTATTAAAAAATATATTAGATACCTTTGTTCAAGTGTTAAACTTGAAAATTCACCGCATGTGAGAGGACCTGCTGAAAATCTTGCATTGGAGAAACAATAAATATTGTATGTGCTTATAAATAATTATATTACTTTTCATATTGATAATTAATTTTACAGTGAAATCTCAACTTTCTTCACTTTATCCCAACCCCTCCTATATGAGGACGTGACATGGCTATCCGATTAAATTACATGGTCACTTGATGTATATGCATTTATATACCCAAGTTCCGGAACTCAAGAATTTGCCTTATACGGACGGTCCAAACAAAATTTCCTTTTTAAGTTCTACCTAGCTAGTCAATTCGTATTTTACCGACAGGAAAAAAGAAAACTAAGCTCTCGTCTATTGCTGTTTCAAAAATTCTTTCATTCCAACATTATCCATTTTGTATGTATACATTCTAATTAAAGACCTCGGGTAAATAGTATGAATCAGAAAGCTGGATGCTCTTTTTTTCTAAACAAAAGCAATCCAAGGTTCGAGCCACTTGCACGATAGATGTCATATTTACTGATTGAAAATTAAAGTAGATAAAAAGTTGAGAATAAGTAACTTGGCTACTCTTCATATTACTAATGATTTTAAATCATGTGAAAATGAAGTTTTCTGGTTGGAGTTTTCAGCCAAACTTTGTTCTTGCTTGTCCTTTCCTTTAAATTTTCAATCAATTACATCTTCATATTAATATCCACGCGTCTTGGAAAATTGTTTATATTTTGTGGGTCTGGATTGAATTTCTTCTCCCAGTTTGTGGTCACAATTTTGTGTGACTGGATTGAATTCTTCCTCTCCCAGTTTGTGGTCACAAATTCTTGGAAAAATGTTTTCTTTTTTGGATCTTCTTCTCCCAGTTTGCGGTCACAAATTCAAGGATGAAGGTATTGGTTTCTATGGAAATATCGACATTGAAATGTTTTGATATTTCAAGGATGAAAGTTGTTTAGATCCAAATATTCACCATCGGCCTGCGCAATCAAGGCCGTTGAGTGAGCATAGCTCTCAATCGTCGGATGGAAAAGTGGAGATAATTTTTGTCATTATTAAAGGATAATATCATGATTTTTATCATAATAATTATCTTTTAATATGAATTATCTTAGCATCTTCTTCAACCAGATAAATAAGGTGCGAATTATATCCCGAAGCAAGTGATACAGTTTAAATTGAGTTGGGATGTGTGTGGACATGTGGATTGGATATGCTGCAAGATGATATTAAAGATGATGACTTTGGGTGATGATGAGACAAGCCTAGAAAAGCTAGGTTTTTTGGTGGTGGTGTAATGATCACCTAGGAAACCTAGGTAGGCTAGGCTTTTCTTGTTTTTTGCATGTTGATGGAAGTAAGAGTTTCTGCTGAAGGTTTTTAATGAGATCAGAAGCCTAGGTGGGTTAGGTTTCTGATGTGGTATTGTAAAACCTAGATAGGCTGTTGCTTATCTAATTGACGAGTTTGAAAAGTCAAGGAACAAAGCCCACAGATCAATTTGAAGGATATGCTTTAGCTCCGCAAATTAGGATTGCAGTGGGACTCTGCAAAATTATTTGGCCGCGCCACACAACATTTGCCTATAAATACAAGACTCGGTGCAACGGAAGAAGGACCTTCAATTCAACACATAATTGCCCTGCGCAAAACCTCTCAACATCTTGAGATTTTTATTTTCTTTTCTCCAGCCGACACACCTTCAATTTGGATAAACAGAACTATGGAGGCAACCGACAAACACCTTCAGTTTGGATAAACAACACTGTTGCCGTAGAATCAGCCGACCAAGGAGTACCTTCAGTTTGGATAAACAGCACTGCGTCGAGGCCGACTGGTTACCTATCCAAGTCTCAGTCGAGAAGGGTTTTCGAGTCCTTATTGGCAAAGGTCATCTTATTAGCCTTCTCGGCGAAGTAAGCTGTTACGAGTTACGACATTCGGTGTACTGGACACCGAGTGCTTTTATGATTGGGTACTCACAAGTGAGTTTCAGAGTTCGACAATCTGACGGCCGAACCACATTCACCATCATGACATACATCACCTTTGAATACTTGTGTCCGTATAGTCTGATGTCGATTCGACATGCTTATACTCTTACGAATATAATTACAGTGATCGAATCAGGCGCCGACGATTTGTGAACTTCGCAGAACTAGCAGCCTTGTCTTCAGGCTCTAGAACCCAAAGACCGAGAGTGTTCCTTCCTCGGTCGCAGTCGCAAGATAAAGAAGTCAACATCGCGCTCAACGTGACATCAATGAATTTTACTCCTCGGCCGACGAGTTGGCACGCCCCGCATTCAACCGAATGACGTAGTTAGCTTATTAGTTACTCGACCTGCGCACCACGTAGGCTTTGTAATCTTTAGGGTCAACAAAAGTATTGGTCACAAATTCAACGTCTGAATATTTTCGATATTGATATTGATATAACTTCCATCGAGGAAGTGAAAATTTGGTTCAAAAGTAACAAATGATGCTCTAGCCGCAACTTATTACATACATAGGGTAAATATTATGATTAATTACTTTGAATTATAATCTAATCAAAATCGTTTAATTTTTTAGTTTTTATTTCAAGATCATTTTATAAAAAATAATTTGAAACAAAGTTTATTTAGTTATTCAAATATATCAAATAAATTGACGATTAATCATTAATTGATTAGTCATGAATTATTTGATGCAAATGATGCTCTAGCCGCAACTTATACATACATAGGATAAATATTATGATTAATTACTTAGAATTATAATCTAATCAAAATCGTTTAATTTTTTAGTTTTTATTTCAAGATCATTTTACAAAAAATAATTTGAAACAGAGTTTATTTAGTCATTCAAATATATCAAATAAATGGACGGTTAATCATTAATTGATTAGTCATGAATTATTTGATGTATTTGAATGACTTAATTATCTTCATTTATAAAAATAATTTTTAAATGCAACTTAAAAATTAAACAGTACTAAATATGAAATTCTTACAGTTAATATATATATATATTTCGCAATTTACGTGAGTCTTCGCCTGAGATTTCCTTGAACCAAGTACAAACTAATATCACAGGCGGTCATTATCTAGTATTAAATCTAAAAATATACCAATCCCACACGCACAAAGAAAGAGTCATGTCTTTTAAATTTCTTTGTGACATAAGCTTTGGATGTCGCTGGACATTTTCAACGGGATACCTCTCAACTTTTTATCATTATAACAACTTTTGATCATCATATGTGCAACGATACTTTGCGTGACCATGAATATTTTGTCCTTTAAATTTGTCATGCAAATATCAAAAACTTTAAGTGACGAATATTGGAAACAAATTCGCGCACATCTGCAGACGGAGACAAGAACTCAGTCGGACTATCTAATGATCTTCGATGAGAGAAGAATGGGGTTGATTGGACGGTGTGGTTAAATCGGGGTAAGAATTGCCTACATATTTCCGAGAATGAGAATTCACCCACGGGTGTAGTTCTATGAAAGAATGGTGTGAACCAGCCTTGATGAATAGCCTATGGCGAGACGTGAGGAAATGAGTTCTACATAGACGTGCCTACGCGTAGACGGCCGCATGCGGACCTATGTTAAGCATAGAGAGAATAAGTGTGTATATGTCTGAGAGAAAGATAGGTAAAGGAGATGTGTTTGTCTATATACACCAGTCTTGTAGAGAATAAAGTGATTGTCCCTCGATAAATATCCAGGCTAGTGTATTTATAAGGACCTTAAGAGTCCTTATAAAGAGAGTAATCTTCATCAAATTGGGAGATCTAGTGACATCTTTGTTTGCTCGATGGTTGAAGGTTGTTGAATTAGTGGTACAAAAGGCATGCGGATTGCATGCATGAATATTAACGTTAAATAATAGGAGGCAATCCCTGAAAGACCCTCATAATTTGCGTTGACATATTCAACACAATTTTCTCTTTTTCTATTACTAATTCAGCAAACATAAAGAATTGATTGGGAGAGGACATAGAGATCCACTAGTTTTATTGTAAATTTTTCTATAAATATAAGTTACAATTACAAGCAAACCAACTTTGAAACAAGAATACAAAAAGATTTTAATGTGTTTCATGATATATAACAATGATGGAGTGGATTTGATGTTGTTTAATTTAAAAACAAAAAACAAAAATATGACTTATGCTAAACAGAAAAACATAAAAAAAAAACGTTATTATATGAGTAATACTATCACATTTTTCATACAACATTTGTTGTATCAACTTTTTTGTAAAGTAAGGCCCACCAATAAATGTGAATTTCATCTTTATAAGAGAAGTGATACAAATATGGTAAAGTAGCAATTTTGTTATTATAATTTATATATAGGATAATACTTGAGTTCCCCTAATGGGGAAATACACATACTTGTTTCAAATGATGTAGCATATAAACTTCATAATCGGAACCGTTTAATTTCTTAATATTCATTAAAAGATCATTCATACAAAGAATCATTCGAATCAGTATGGTTTAGTCATCCAAAAGTATGGAACAAATTGACGGTGTGAGTACCAGATAATATTTTCATAATTAACCGTCTATTTATTTGATATATTTGAATGACTAAACGATATTCGATTCGAATAAATTTTTTTTTTGTAGGGATATGAAGATTAAGAAATTAATTGATTCCGATTATGAAGCTTATACGGTGAATATACATTATTCAAAAGAAGTGGGATATGTGCATTCCTCTCCATTGGGAACATAGCTCATAACTAGCGAGGATATGGTTCAGTAATATTTGAGGGCTCATTTTGTGTCACATAGATGGAGCTGCTTTTGGATTCATCAGACTCTGTCAATGTCGTCAAACACATGTCTGGTTCACCGTCGTCTTGCAAATAAAATGCAGGTTGTGAGGGCACTGAAAGTGTGAGAGTCTCGCTATTAAGCATGGATACAATTGAAACCACAGTCGGTCTGTCAACCGCATTTTGTTGGACACAAAGTAAACCAACGTGGATGCATCTCATTATTTCGATTCTTGAACTTGTCGTCAACGTAGGATCTATGATATTTTGAGGTGTTTCCTCCCTCCAATTTCTCCAAGCCTATAAAAGTTCATCAATATAGTCAAAAGGAAATTTTTTACTGCCAGTTAATGTTCTTTGGCAGGCAAAAGAGGGAATTACCAAATTGATTATACTACTCACATAGGTTAAAAGGTCCTCTTCACTTTTACCATATCGAAAACTGCCAACCTTTTTACCACTAATAATTTCAAGCACTAACACACCAAAACTGAAGACATCTGTTTTGACAGAGAAGCGTCCATGAATTGCATACTCTGGAGCCATATATCCACTGCAATATTATATTCCAAATAAAAGAATGTAATTCAGTTCTAATGGAAACTTGAAAAACTTTGATTTCTGTTGTAATCAAAGCACAAGATTAAATTTTAAGATAGCTTGCAATGTTATTAGAGTACTTACTAGGTTCCCACAATTGTCTTTGTATCTCCTTGAGTTTGATCAATCATGAACAATCTGGCCATACCAAAATCAGCAATTTTGGGGTTCATATCTTCATCTAACAAAATGTTGCTTGCTTTTAGATCACGGTGAATAATTCGGAGCCGAGAGTCTTCATGAAGGTAAAAGATCCCCCGAGCAATGCCTTGTATGATCTTGTAACGTGTTTCCCATTCCAAATGCGCATTATTTTGGGGGTCTAATGTATATTGTTTCGTTAGAAGGAACTGTGAATTTTTTATCTATAAGAAATCAGTATAAATTATACCAACAAAAAGATAGAGCAAATATACCAAAAATGAAGTGATCAAGACTTGCGTTAGCCACGTATTGGTAAATGAGGAGTCTTTCCTTTGCTTTTATGCAAAATCCAAGGAGCCTTACTAAATTCCGGTGTTGAAGCTGAGCAAGTAACTCGACTTCGTTCTTAAATTCACGATCACCTTGTTCAGAATTCTTAGAGAGCCTTTTCACGGCTATAAGTTGCCCATTCAATAGCCTTCCCTGAATGTTTAACAGAAAACATAAAGTAAGGAAACAATTGTTAAGTATCATCTTTTTCTTGTGGAATTTATTTGTTTTGTTACCTTGTAAACGGTTCCAAATCCACCTCGTCCAAGCTTATTTGCATCAGAGAAGTCATCTGTTGCAGATTTTATAGTTTCGAAGTCATATTGCAACGACTCCACCAAATTTTCATCTGAACTCCCGTGACCTGAAAATAACAAATGTTCCAAAAAAGTTGGATGAGATAATTAAATGCATTTTAAAGATCAGAGTGTGACGACAAAACAGGTTGAACTTACCTTCACGTAATTTTACTCTTCGTTTCATCATTCTTAAGAAAATACATATGCTACTCATGATAATAGCGACAGCAACCGAAACCACAGTGATGATGATGACAATTTCTCTTGTGTTACTCTTCTTTGCTGCTGAAATATTGTAAATCACAAGCGTAGTTTTGTTAAGAATCACACCACATAATTGTGAGGCATCGATTACATTTAAACATATGCAGGGAGCTGAAATACTAATTAATTGAAATACTAGCATACCTGGTGCTGGTGCTAGTGCTGGTGGAACTGGAATATCTATTTGCGAAGTAGTGAAAGGCCCGAAGAAATCACCATTATTCTCGTACCTTAAGCTACAGCTGGGTTTAAGAACTCTTCCTCCACTTTTTCCACCGCAACATCCTGGAATAATTGAGAAGGAATCTTTAAGGCAATTGCTGCAATTTTGCTGGTTTATATCTGGAGTGCACTGGGCAAATGCATGTATTGTTTCGGCATCCGGGATATTTGCATGCCCTGCCGCAAATTTTTTAAGCGAATCCCCAGCTGCAGCTTTCTCAATTAAAATACCCAACAAAGGGTTAAGAACCGCCTCAAACTGTTGAGAGTTTTTCGCAGAATTTGGGCTGGGCAAATACTTAGTTGGGTCCCCTTGCTCAATACCAAATATTAAGTTGTACGAGTAGCGAACCATACAACGCTCTCCCCATAGGATTGCTTCCTTATGATTTGGACAATTCTGCAAGAGAAGATGAGTGGTCTCGTTGACGCAAGTCCTACAATTGTCAAGTGCAAGGTCTCCTCTACATAATGCAATGGCATTGACTTTGTTGGAGTCTTGTCCCCTTGAAGAACTGTAGAATCCAGATTTGTTTCGGGTGTCGGAGGAGAAGGAAGAGAAGAGTCTTTTGAGGTTGGATTGGTATATGTCACCGGGCGTGTAGTTGCCTGCAGTATCAGAACATATCCAGCAGTATTCAGCTGCGCTAGTGCAGGTGCGGAGGTCAAATTGGGCCATGGTGGGAGCTAGAAGGTTGAAGATAGCAGGAAGAATGAAGAGAAGTAATGGTCTGGAGAAATCCATTTCTCCTGCTCAATTCCGAAGCAACGCGGTTGAGGTTTGGCTTTATATAATTATACATGTATGTATGTATGTACATATGTACATGTATATATGTAAATGTATGTAATGTACTTGTATGTATGGGTAGACAAGATCCCACATTAGAAATAATCTACGAACTTCAGTTTGAATTTTATCGCTAATATGGACAACTGTAAATCTTCTTTTTGGTCTTGCTTTTTCAGCAACATGTTGGAATTGTGATGTCATTACATTAGTCTTTCTTATGACTTGATTCACGTAACCGTTTCGATTCATTTATTTCAATTGAAGACCCAAATTTAAATAAGAAAAATAATTACTCATCTCAATAAATTCATTACTATAAACTGATGGCCAGTTATAAAATTAAAATTCATGAGAGAAATTGAGAAATTATAAAAATTTAAGGGGGAAATTTGCAAATTTTAAGAGTTTAGGTGGGTACTTAGCTAAAATTAAAATTTAGAGAGAAATTTCGGCTAATATCTCATGTGTACGTTAAAAGTATGTGTTTCGCTGCTAATTACCCCGAGACGTTCAATTAATACTTTAATAGAGTAGCTAGCATTGGTCGTATCTTCTATAATCATCAACCCACCCTATTGTGAAAAAAATAAATAAATAAATAAAAATATAGATAAGTTTCTTGTTTTTTTTTTTTTTTTTTTTAATTTTTTTTTTTTTAATTTTGATGCAACGATATATATGCTAAGGATTGAAAGAATAAATTTTTGTAGAATTTACTATTTATGAGATTCGAATTTAACAATTTTCTTAACTAACGACATTCAAATCTAATAATCGAACAAAAACAACGATCAAAATTAATAAAAAATATTTTAGAGGCTAAAATTATATGTTTATCATTTTCCTATTTTCTTCTGTATACGAAGGAAAATGTTCTAAACTTGTGGAACCTATTTTTTCAGTCACTAAAGTAATGTTTTTTTTTTTTTTTTTTTTGGGTCCGGTCACTAAAGTAATTGTCATATATTTGTTTTTAAGCTGAAAATCCAATAAAAAAAAAATCAGGAGTGGCGTAGAATTGTCCGGAGAGTTGAAAATTGACAGTGATTGACAGTTTCGTCATGGTCTTTCAATTTTTTTTTTATTTTTTATTTTTGTAAAATCTTGGTCTTTCAATTTGACTATCTATGCCAGGATTGAGATGCCGTGTGAAGATGAAGGGTTCTGGATGGAGTTTTTAGCCAAACTTTGTTCTTACTTGTCTTTTTCTTCAAAATTTCAATAATTTCATTGTCATATTAAATATTTAGTCTTCACGCTTCTTGGAAAAAATGTTTCTTTTGTCGGTGTGGATTGAATCTTCTTCTCCCAGTTCAAATATTTAGTCTTCACTCCTCTTGGAAAAATGTTTCTTTTGTACGAATTTTTTTTATTGATAATAAAAAAGAAGTTGTTTCTAATCAGGGGATATAAACCTTACTCCTCTTAAAACCAACAAAAAAAAAAACATGAAAAAGAAGAAGAGACATAAACCTTATATATCTAGAAACCAAAACAAGAAAGATACAAAGAAAAGAAAGAGGAGACATGAAACCTAAACTCTCTAAAGCCAAACCTAAAATGTCTAAACCTATAAAACAATTCGAACAACACCACAAGGTTAGGATAAAAAACAACAAAGTGAGACAAACCTGTATGTTGAGATGCATACTAATTTGAGAAGCTGCAGCCAGGCAAGCCAACATAATCTGAAAACAAAGCATGAGCTGCTGACGACGGTTAATCATGTTATGTTAAAGTTGGAGAAGACAAGTCCATATTAGCAAAATTGTTCACAATAAAATTTTCTTCGCGATATATGTGAAATGCGTAGAAAGTTATTTCTGAATGCGGTCCAAACAAATAAACTATTGTGTATGAAGAGACCAAATGTGTACGTGAATACTCTTTTCCACTTGACTCTTCCACCCTAGTTTCAGCCCCTCTAATTTTCACTGGAAGATCATGGTTTTAGATATTCTTTTGTAGGCCATAAAAAATGACGGTGGTGGTCTTTTTAACATCACCCTTTGAATATTCCTTTTTATTTTTCATGACCGACTGTATACCTTACAAAATTTTTCTATTTTTAGCATGTAATTTTGCTTTATAAAGTTCATTTATCTATCGACATAAATATTTAAGAGAAGGTTACTTGTCAACTACAATTTTTTTCATAGATGAATTGTTGATTTTGTCTCTAAATTGGCACTTGAGTAAAAATTAGGTCTTTAAACTATTTTTTTTTCGGAAAAAATTAATATAAATAGCTTAGTACTAGTGTCTAGTATTGTTACTCTTCATTTATAAGTGGAAGCATCTTGTGACTCGTCTCTACATGTCGTAAGAAATTCTTATGTTAGAGACCTAGCTAACTTGTCTTCTGTGAAAATTAAACTTTAGCTGCTGTTTGGTATTTTCTTTCTTTACTTTATTGATCAAAACGTTTGTTCTGAACACATAACTCTGGATTTATCTACATGCAGGAACAAGTTCCCTTTCAAAATAAAGAAAAATAACATTGTCGGTGTTCCAAGTACACAAAAAACTTTCTCCACACAATCAACATAAAACAAATTTGTGCTTAAATCAAACCAAAGCGCCTACATATGTTAATATCAATGCTGGAGTGAGATTGACTTTGCAGTTTATATAATAAAATTAAAAACAAAAAGCATACATTTTTTTTAGCGAGGATATAGCTCAGTAATTGAGTCCTCATTTATTGACACATGCTCAGGGTTTTTAGATTCATATGATTGTGTTCGTTCCGTCATGTCTGTTTCACTGTTATGCAAATAATATGCAGGTCTTGAAGGCAATGGGAGTATCATAGAATGACTATTAAGCATCGAAACAACTGAAGTCATTGTCGGTCTGCTAGCCACCTTTTCTTGGACGCAAAGTAAACCAATGTGGATGCATCTCATCGTTTCAGTTCCTAATCCCGTCGTTAGCACAGGGTCTATGATATTTGACACGGTATCCGCCTTCCAATTTCTCCATGCCTATAATAAAAGTTGAGAAGTACATTAATGAAAGAAAGTTCATGTACTGAGAGTTAAATAATGTGTAAAGGAGTATATTCTTACTCACATAGGTTAAAAGGTCCTCTTCATTCTCAGCACTTCGGAAACTGGTAATCTTTCTACCACATAAGATCTCAAGGACTAACACGCCAAAACTAAAAACATCTGATTTGACAGAAAAACGACCATGAATCGCATATTCTGGAGCCATATATCCACTGCATAATTATATTCACCAAATTAAAACATGAATTTCGGGCTTCTAGCAAGGCAAGCACACCAACGTGTTTTAGCTAGAATTTTTGTATACTTACTAGGTCCCCATGATTGTCTTGGTATCTCCTTGAGTTTGATCCATCATAAACAATTGAGCCATGCCAAAGTCTGCAATTTTAGGATTCATATCTTCATCTAACAGAATGTTGCTAGGTTTAAGATCACGGTGAATGATTCGAGGACAAGAATCTTCATGAAGGTAAAGAAGCCCTCGAGAAATCCCTCTTATGATTTTGTAACGTGTTTCCCAATTCAAATGTCCATGATTGATTGGATCTAAATACAATTGCAATAGAATGCAATATGATTCATAAGTTTTTCTTTTGTTGATACAATTTTCGATAACATAAAATTTAAGAGGAATGTTGTCAATTATGCCAAAAGATAGAGCAAACATACCAAAAATGAAGTGATTAAGACTTGTGTTGGGCACGTATTCGTAAATGAGGATTCTTTCCCCTGCTTTCAAGCAAAAACCTAGCAGTCGTACTAGATTCCGGTGGTGAAGTTGAGAAACTAACGTGACTTCAGTTTTAAATTCACGATCACCTTGTTCAGAATTCTTAGAGAGTCTTTTCACGGCTATATATTTTCCATTTGGTAGCCTACCCTGAAGTTTATAAAGAAAAAAAAAAAAAAAAGTCAGTTGGGTTAAACAATTTTTCAGTAAATCGTTTTTCTTGTAATATAGTGTTTTGGTACCTTGTAGACAGCTCCAAATCCTCCTTGGCCAAGCTTATTTGCATCAGAGAAGTCATCTGTTGCAGATCTTATAGTTTCGAAGTCATATTGCAACGATTCCACCACACCAATGTCATCCGAATTATCATCTGAAAAGTGCGTGACGGCTTAATCATCACATCTGTTCTGAGAGAAAAGCATAATATATGAGACTATGTGACAATAATCACAGTTGGACTTACTTTCAAGTTTCAGTTTTTTCCTTCGTCTCCTCATTCTTGAGGAAATAAATATTCCGATAAGAATCATAGCGACAAAAACAATCGCAACAACAGTGATGATGACGACGATGACTGCTTTTGATATGGTACTCTTCTTTCCTGCAAAACATCAGAAGGGTGCTTTCATTTTATTGGGCATCACAAACAGATAGCAAAGACAAAGAATTAATTGTAATGAAAGCATCCATTAAGTTTAACCATACCTGGGAGAACTACTAGAGAATCGGCGGTAGAGTCATAGAAAAGACTTGTCTCGAATCTCAAATTACAACTCGGCTTAAGAACCCTGCCTACTTGCTTTCCACCACAACACTCTGGTATTTTAGAGATAGCCCCCTTAAGGCAACCACTGCAATTTTGCTTACCCAAATCTGGAGTGCACTGCAAAAGTGCATATATTGGTTGGTTTGTTGTACTTCCTTGGATAATCACATGTCCTGCTGCAAATTTTTTAAGAGAATCCCCCGACGCAGCTTTCTCGGTTAAAGTATCCAAAAAGAGATTGAGCACCAAATCAAATTCTTCGGGATCAGTTGCGCTACTCAGGCTAGGAAGGTACTTAATAGGCTCATCCTCCTGAGTACCAAATATTAATTTTCTCGAGTATCGCACCATGCAACGCTCCCCCCATATGATTGCTTCGTCTTGATTCAAACAATCCTTGAAGAGAATGGAACTAGACAGGTTGACACAAGTGTGGCAGTCGTTGAGGGACACATCTCCTCTACACAATGCAATTGCGTTCACCTTGTCGGGGTCTTGCCCCGTCGATGAATTGTAAAAGCCGGAGTTGGTTTGATTGTTGGAAGAGAAAGAGGAGAGGAGGGTGTGGAGGTTTTTTTGGTAGGCGCCACCGTCTTCGTAGGTGCCAGTGTAGGAACATCTCCGGCAGAAATCAACTGTATAATTGCATACAGCGTCATTGACTTGGGCTACGGCGGGTGCAAGAAGGTCCAAGAGAATGGAAACAATGAAGAGAAATAACATCCTTGATGAATCCATTTCTGTTTCTCAAGTGAACACTAGTTTGAATTTTAATTGTAGTAGTAACCAGTGTATTAAAAACCGAGGCATGAGGCGTGGCTGGGTGGTCTTTCGAGGTGGGTGGTCTTTCGACTTTATAATTGATTATATATATATATATAAAGATAAAATGCTGATTTAGTCGCTGAACTATCAACTCAATAAAAATTAGATCCCTAAATTATTTTTCGGTAAAATAAGTCCCTAAATTCATTAAAAATTGCTAATTTCATCCCTATTATTATATTCAAAACTATTTTATCCAATTTTTCGTCAACTTAAGTCACTTGACACACTTTAAAGTGTAATACCATCATTTTCTTGTCTATAAGCTCTTAACATTTCATATAAGTTGCGAATTTAATATCTAATTTACCCTCAAAAGTTAAATTACACTATTTCTTTATGAAAAACTACCAATCTACCCTCCAATGTGTATCACATGCAAGTAAGTGGCAGATTTTTATTGACACGCCCCGACCCCGATATTTCCCGAATACCAAGATAGGCACGTGCTGGCCGACACCCGAGGGTGACGAAAGCCATTTATTGAGTGCAAATGCTGAAAACAAGGGGTAAATAAGGTTTATAAATATAAATGAATAATGAATATGTAAATAAGGACAGTGTTCAGAACACACCTCTAATCTAGAACACTAGAAGAAAATAATATAAAATTGAATGAAACAAAGGAGTGGGTCCTACACCGAAACACCCAAACATAATTCATGATATCTGCCAAAAAGAAAATACCTCTCGATTAGATTTCTTTCGTTCATGAACTTTCTCCTTGACAAACTCCTGAGATAGAACCAAAAAAGAAAATATGTCACAATAGGTGCAAGTAGAGGGGAAGGAGGCAGAGAAAAGTAGGAATTTATGAGTACACCACTCCTGTTTTAGGTTCCCAACTTATAAGGATGCTAACTTCATCCTATAGGACTACCGTTAAATGCATTTCTTTCCGAAATTAAATTAAGAAAAAAATTCGACACCCACATGCCACAACACAATGTTACATGAAGTAATCTTACCATCACAACCAAATTGACACAAAAGTTCTATGTCCTTTTGAAAGCGAAAGTCAAGCGATTAATCAAATACTCATTTTCCAAAAAACAAAAAAACCCAACAAAAATATATACAAAGTAAAAGTAACTAAGTTCCCAATAGTCTAAACCATCAGAAAAATACAAACTTGAACATGTTTGGGTATAAGGACCATAAGAAAGAAGCAGGGGATGCAAAATTTAGAGAACAGGTCTAATAATACTCATCAAGTACTGATAATCAAAGTTAAAAGGAGGTAATAAAGGTATAGAAAAAAGAAGAATATATTCTACGAATGAATGAAACAAAAGATGGTGACATTGGAATGGAAACACTTCAGGAGGCCAGAGGAAGAGGGACAATTTTTTTCTTTCTAGCATTTACCGATAATGATGCTAACTTCATCATATAGTACTACAGTTAAAACACATTCTTTTCCGAAATTAAATTAAGAAAAAATTCAACATTCACATGCCACAATAATTATACTGTTCCATGAAGTAATCTTACTATGACAGCCAAATTGACACAAAACATTTGTTCAGCAATCTGATTATGAAACAACCAACTAATTAAACACCAAATGATAGGCACGATTCCGGTAACCAAATTCAAAGAACAGAGTTCAGATAACAAAATGCAAAGAACACGATACATATAGTAAAATTCAAGAACATGATTCAGAGGATTTGAACTATATTGTGTTGAAAACTTACCAAAGAGTGACGATTCCAGGGCAGTAGCAGTCAGGCTTCTTGACTCCTCCAGTTGCGGGTGCTAATTTAATTGCAGCATACACAAAATTAAAACAATTAGCAACTTAGATTCAATAATCTGATTGTTTCTTGGAAAAAATCGCTTGCAATTATCAATTCTAATTTTCGACATTAGAAACCCAAATGAAATGCACCTTGGTGGCAAGTGCCTTCCTTAGAGCCTTACCACTTCGTACGACCCATTTCTTCACAAATGAATGACAAAAATGCAAAGAATCTGAAGTAAGAGAGACGAAGAACCGTAAGAATCCAGAGGTTATGAACATAACCGGGCAATTAACTTTGAAAGCATAAAGAATTACGAAAACAAAATATTATGTTTCATTATCATCATATACAAATTCAATCTACAAACTCATCGTTTCTACCTGATTACTCCACTAACAGCACCGCTCCAATTTGGTATCTGCATCACCAGAGTCAGAGAAGCCTAACCTGGGAAAAGCACTATCCAATTAGGAGGCTTCAATTGAAATTCCTGATGCATAAAAATCAAAACTAAATTGAAATTATAATCAATTAAGGGGCTTCAATCAAACCAATTCCAAATTCAAAATAAAAATTTCTAGTAGTCATCGTCCTTGGATTCCATCTTTGTCTGACCACAAAATCCTAATGGCGACTGTACAATGCTTAAACACAACCCAAAATAATTCAAACGAAATATGCACAACCCAATCCCAACTCTGTGAACCTTGCACCAATAAACCAAAAAGCCCAACAACAAAGTAAAACAAAGGAAAGTTTTTATAAGACAGAGGAGCACAAACTATATTAAAATAGACCAAAATGAGTAATAAGTCATTGGAAATTGATGTGTCCTTGGAAATTATGATAAGTGAAGAACTTAGCACCATGGCTAATACTTCACCATTCTAAGCATTTCCATATCTCTCCTTGTATATACGAGGGTACACATTCAACCCTCACCTGTTTCTTTTTTGAGAGTTCTGCATACTAATTGGAAGAAACCAAGGAATTCGAAGCTTTTCCATACCTCGGCTTATATTGAGGGAATTTGATGTGCCATAGAACATACCAATTCAAAGTGAGAAATCTGAGTCACAACACTTTTTGGTTTTACAATTTTGTTCAAATACGAAATGAATCCGTGCATACAAAGACTGATACAAAAATCCGAAATGAACATGATGTCTACAAAGGTTTTAGAAGTTACCAATATACGACGCTGGAAGAAGACACAAATATGGCCCCGAAAATCCCAGAAGAAGCAGACGACTCCTTCGACCAGAAAAACTCATAAGTGAAGAAAGAAGACGACGACCCAGTTAGAAAACGACGTGCCCCTGAATTGCTTCCCACCAATGTGACTCCTCAACTTCAAATAGGGAAACATCAAATCAATTTGGTCTAATCAAGTGAAATCACATTATTCTGGAAATGATAAAATCATTCATGTAAGAGATACTCACATATCTCCTTTCATACACAGATTTTTTGTGCATCTAAATAAATCTTTTAGGATTGTACTGGCTAAAATATATTGGAAAATAATCAGAAGAAAACACTTTTAGTTGTTTAACTATTATAAATTACGGAAATTAGTATGAAAGTACCAAACTATATCCCAATTAAGACAAAAGGCTTGCTTGACCAAGTTTAATAAACCAACATAGATGAATTGATCTATCATTATTGTTTGTCATATATTTGTTGCTTTATCTTTCATCTTTTCGTTACTTTCTCGATTTATCTCACACTACAACCTCATTCATCATTCAATGAATTCAGATTTCAGATAAAGACAGAGGACACCTTATTAACTCTAATCCTCACTAACCAACTAAGCTTAAATGCTACTGTTTTGCTCAAATTAAATAAATTGTACCCCTCTTCCCCCACTTCCCGCGCAATTCACCACCTAAACAATGCAATAAAAAACTGAAAGAAGGGACTTTACACACATATATCATTCCATCTCTCAAACTTATTGACTCTAATCCTCACTGACCAACTAAGCTTAAATGCTACTGTTTTGCTCAAACTAAATAAATTGTACACTCTCTTCCCCCATTCTCTGCGCAATTCACCACCTAAACAATGCAATAAAAAACCGAAAGAAGGGACTTTACACATATATACCTTTATACGGTTTGAAATCGCCTCCAGCCCTTTTCGTAGTCCAATCCCTAAAAACCAAAACCAAAAACAGAGAACCCATCAGAAACCCTAGACCATCCAAATTCGAAGATACCCATAGCCCCCAGCTAGTCCAATCCACAAAAAAATCATAAACCAAGCAAAAAAATTAAAGAAATCTCATACCTTCTATAAAAAATCAAAGTGAAAACCAGAGAAGCTACATTGGTGAGGAGAGGAAGAGATTGATACCTTACCGGACGTTGGGGTGGCCCGAATCAACCGAAAAAACCTTGCGCGATTTCGTCGTTGTATGGCAAACTTAGGATGAATTGAAGTTTGATGAGAAAAAACGGACGAACTTCAAGAGAGAGAGAATTCGAGAGCTCTGTTGCAGTTGCCATCGCAGTGTGGAGACACTGAAGGCGAAGGAATTGATTCGCAGTATGAAGGGATCTGGAGATGACTGTTGAGAGGCTGGGGCCGACTGATTTGCAGAGCTTCCATGTGAAGGGAAGGATTTGCAAATCCCTGAAATCCCTCTCTCTCTCCTCTCTCTATCTCCATCTCAGAACTCCAGCGTGGAGCCCTCCCTGCCAATACACTATTCAATCCACCTAATGAACAGTAACTGTCTTTAATGAACAATAAGTAGCTCTGGCAATATTATTTGCATCTTTACCGTTACACTTCAATAGCCTTGGCAATATGCAATAAAATATTAGTATTTTTTTTATTTATAAAATAATACAAAATAATTTTAATTGTAATATCGGATAAGATTTTTAATCGTTCTCGTTGCGCTACGTGTCATTATCCGAAGTATTATTAAATAATACAAAATAATACAATTATTGGTGATGGATTTCTGATAAGATTATTAACCAATCACGTCGCGCCACGTGTCATAATCTGTTCACAATCTTTGAGGATAGATTTCCATCAGATTTTTAACGAATGACGGCATGTCACGTGTCATAATCTGTTCACAATCTTTGAGGATAGATTTCCATCAGATTTGTAACGAATGACGGCATGCCACGTAACATTATGCACAACCTAATCCTTTCTGAATCCTCTATATAATTCACCATCTATCCTCACAAATCTCACACCAAAATTCTTAAGATCTCTATCATTAATCATAGTTTCTGCTTTCTTATTCACAAAAATCTATATCATTATTCATAGTTTATGTTTCTTTCTTTCAATGTCTTCTTCTTCTTGCTCAAGGATGATGTGGGAATTCAATCAGGAAGAGGAAGAATTGTTTAACGAATCAGAAGCAATGTTCAATCACCAGGTGGTAAGAAATGAGAGGGAAGAGGATAAGGAGCGTCAAATGAGAGATGACGAAGTCAGAAAGGGCAGAGCCTCACATTCCCGTCGAGTCATCCAAGCTGCGGCTCAGATCTGCAGGCCCAGCCGTTCCGGAAACCTTGATAGAAGCAGGCAACGACGAGGTATGGAACTTTTGGATGATTATTTTGTTCCTAATAGTGCATTCCCGGATACGTACTTTAGACGTCGTTTTAGAATGGAACGACATTTGTTCAACAAAATCATGATTGTTGTTTGCAACCATGATTCTTATTTTGTGCAAAAAAAAAGATGTTTTTGGTGCTATGGGTCTACTGCCTGAGCAAAAAATTACTGCTGCCTTGCGGATGCTTGCATATGGAGCATCTGCAGACCAAGTGGATGAGATAACGATGATAGGGCAATCAACCATTCTTGAGTCCCTGATGAGGTTTTGCAGAGCAATCGAATCTATCTACACCGCTGAGTACCTCTGCAAACCTACACACATGGACTTGGAGCGGCTGTTGAAGAAGGCGGAGATGCGTGGCTTTCCTGGGATGATTAGAAGCATTGATTGTATGCACTGGACGTGAAAAAATTGTCCAAGTGCATGGCAAGGCGCTTACGGGGACAGAAAAGGAGCAAAAAGTATCATTCTGGAGGCGGTGGCATCGTTTGATACATGGATTTGGCACGCATTTTTCGGGGTCCCAGGAGCTCAAAATGACATCAACTTCCTTGCTCAATCCCCAGTGTTCAACGATGTCCTGCAAGGAAAGGCACCAAAAGTTACGTATGAGGTCAACGGACGTATGTACGACGGGCCATACAACCTAGCTGACGGCATCTACCCGCACTGGTCAACATTTGTCAAAACAGTGCCACGTTCGCGGAGTGCAAAGGAAAAACACTTTGCAAACTGTCAAGAGGGGTGCAGGAAGGATGTGGAGCGTTGTTTCGCTATCTTCTAAGCTCGCTGGGCGATCGTCAGGGGTGCTGCCAGATTGTTTGATGTAGAGTCGCTTCGATCCATCATGATGACGTGCATCATTTTTCACAACATGATTGTGGAAGATGAGTACGATTATGAAGCTGTTGATGAATATGAGCCAGACCCGATGAACAATTCAATAACACGTATATATTGTGCTCATGACGCCACCGATGAGCCCGTGCAACATGAGCCATTACAAAGGGATGGATGTTACAATGAAAGGCTCATTCAACAATATACTGCATTTCAAATGCCAGATATGCACAATGCCCGACAAATTGACTTGATAGAGCACCAGTGGGCATTGAAACAAGCTGAAGATAATTAAGTTCATTTAGTGTGTTTTTTTGAATTTGGTATGTTTATGTTATTTTATTTGGTGTGTTTTATTATTTGGTATGTTTATGTAATTTTTTTATGTTTATGTTTATGTAATTCTTAGTATGTTTATGTTTATATTTATGTAATTCTTAGTATGTTTATGTTTATGTTTAATATTAGAAAGCCAGATGAGTATTTATGTTTGGCTTTTAGTGTTTGTTCAAATTGCTTGCAACCTTAAAATTGTGATTGTGCATAATTCTCATCTTAATTAGTTACACTCTTTATTTTATCATGGCTTTGATGTAAGTAGTAGACGCTATGTTCACATATGTACATATTTTGCTTTGGTTAATACATTAAAGCATATCATCATTAAAGAGAATGCCACCATCATACAAGTAGACTTTATGTTTTTTTCTTCAAAATAAAAAAAAGTAGACTTTATGTTTTTGCATGTATATATTGTTCATCTTCGTGTGGGTTTTAATCTATGTAAAGGACTTTTAATTAGAACCATGGACTTTTAATTATTTTATACAAGGACTTTTAATTAGAACGATGGACTTTTAATTATTTTATACAAGGACTTTTAATTAGAACGATGGTCATGGTCATGGACTTTTAACAACATAAATAACTTACCAAATTAATTCTTAGTATAAATAACTTACCAAATTAATTTGAATAAATATTCAAGAAATTGGAAACAACATAAATAATACAAACAATAAATAATAAATTACAACCCAAAGTGATTGGAAAATTTTTTTGAATTTTTTTGAATTTTTTACAATTTTTTTTAAATTTTTATTCAGTTAATTAATCTCTGCCGTTGGATATAAAAAAATTTGAATTCCAACACTCCAAATTGTGCCACGTGTCACAACGGTAACTTTTCAGATTTTTAAAACTATTTTTTCATTTATTTTTTAATTTATAAAGCATTTTAATATCCACCGTTGATCTCAGATCGAACGGTGGATATTAAATCTGACTTAATTTTTTTTTTTACCGTTGAGATCGAACGGTCCAAGTTAAAGAATCGTTGAGATCGAACGGTCCAAGTTAAAGAATCGTTGAGATCTAACGCACCGTGGGAAGCCACGTGGCTTCCCAACAGTAACTGATGGATTCTTTTTTTTCTGATTTTTGTGTTGGCGACGCGCCCCCACGCGCGGGTGGGGTGCACGCGCCTAACACAAAAAAAATTAAATATTGCGCTGACGCCACCCTGGCGTCAGCCTGACGTCACGCCCACCTCGGGCTCTCGGGCTGGCAATCCTCCACGGGCCCGGAGCTCGGGCCTTCCCCTTCCATCGGGCTACCCCACGCTGGAGGCCTCCCACCGGCCCTCGGGCCATTGTTTTGGACCCTGTCCCCCGAGCAAAACCCAACGGTAGGAATGCTCTCAGAGGCAGCATGGCCTCCTGCCTGTCCTACAATCCCCTCACCATCAATCCCAATCAGTCCCAACAATTAAGATGACAAAAGTACCCTCCAAACTTTTAATACGGACCGTTAGACATTTGATTTTGCAATAGAATTGATGAAACTAAAGTTACTATGAACATTGAACTTCTTTGTATCTTATTACAAATTCTTACCTCTACTCAAATTTTAATAAAAGGTGTAATCAAATTCGGATTTGAAAGAATTTTCAAAGACTTTAAAATTTTAATGTAGTCAATTAAAAAAATTTAAAGGATCTTAGAATCCATTCAAATCTAGATGTAGTCAATTAAAAAATTTTAAAATCCATTCAAATCAAAGTTTATTAAAAAAATTAAGATTTTGGAGGATTTCTGTCATGCCCCGATCCCGACATATATCGAGGATCGACACGTAACGTCACCAAATACTCATCTCTAACTTACCCCGCCTCTGGAAAAAGTGAAACATAACTTAAGATCTGACTGCACAATTATTCTTTGTAGACTTTATGGCTACATCTAACATCCTCGTTAGATTGCCTACCTACCCTAAATTGGAATCAAGTCATTCGTAATTCATTACTTCAGTACACTCGAACATTCATCACATAAGTCGTTATGTCCCAACAAAATATCGCCATGAATATCATGCAATCTTTCAAAGAACAAACGACGAAGCACAATCATATTATCTCGCCATATTTATCAACAAGTCAGTCATAACAATAACAATGATATCTAACATAATAATCCCACAAGACGAATAACATTTCCACTTCATCCATCATATAAATCATCACATTCCCACATAAAACCACATTTCATAGCGTGTAACATATTAAAGAATTAACAAAGCATAATATTATTCTCCAGAAATATTAATCAACTAAAATAATCATAATAACGACACTCATATCCAACGTCACTCCACAATCCTGTCAATTAATCAATTCGTGAATCAAGATGTACAATCTTAGCATTTAATTACGTTCATCAAGCAATGCGATAACAAAACATTTCACGAATTAACCAAGAAACTCTATATAATTCCCCACTTGGGTTATGAGTAATAAACATGATAATTCTAATTTGTTTTCACAATATCTATGGTGAGTAATTCCCATCTACTTGAATTTAGGATTCTAAGATCACCTTACGGAATGAACAAGAGCAAGGATTCCGGACCACTCAACAAAATCCAACAACATCGGGTTCCGAACCACTCAACGGAACCAAAATATCAAGCGATTTCTCGTAATCGACCTAGACCTGTCATATGTAAAGTCAATGCCCACATTATGGGATTGGTGCTCTGGCAAATCAAGCACTCAAATAAGCTGCAAGGCTCGGGTGAGTGACAGTAATATAAGCATGTGATACAATAATAAAACTAGTCATCAATCACAATTTATAGACCTTGAATATAAATCATTCATAAGAAATCAATACCGACCCTTTGAAAACTCTGAAGGAGTCACCTAGACATCCAACGGTTCATCTGAAACAAATCACAATATCTCACAACCATAATCACAATGAAAAGTAGGGCTAGACGGATGCAGTTCGACCGAAGCCTACATAAGTAACCAAACAGGAAGTGGCCCCCCAAAGCGGTTAACTAAGCAGAGCCATCCCTAAGAAAGTAACCAAGCAAGCAGTGACCCCCCAATGTGGATTAACCAAGCAGAGTTACTCCTATAGCTATTAGGAGGTGATCATCCAATGTGGATTAACCAAGCATGATCACTTCTAAGCATACATGGCTATAAGGATCGCCCAACACAGATTAACCAAGCGCGATCCATGCATATAGTATGGTCCCCCAATGCGGACTAACCAAGCAGGAACACTAATGACCCCCCCAATGCGGATTAATCAAGCAAGGTCTTAGTCCACTACTAGCCCTCACCTTTCATCAAATCAGGCCAATCATACAAAACAAACCATATTTCCAATATGTACGCCAAATCCCACTTCATAAACTACCTTGATGGCTAAATATAAAAATTAACAATTTATAGGAAACATAATTATAAAACCATTTCATATTCACATATATCAAAGTCACTCACATTTCATCATATCATACCATTTATGCAAATCAACCACCTTTCAAATATGCACGTCAAATCACATATCACGATCATCGTCAGTACACAAGCCAAATCATGTTTAATAAACATAGGTCTATGGCTAAATATATATATATATATATACATATATATATATATATACATATATATATATCACATTATAAAACAAAGTCATATTCACAAATGATACCAATATAAGAAATCAAGGTAATAACCACATCACATATGTTCAAGTCACTCTCTAACCAATGTAGGTCCACTAGACTTCACTTAAGTCTCATATAGTACTAATTTTATTATTTAGAACGTATCGAGACATGTTAACTACAATTCAACTCTCGGTCAACGATAGGGTTCACCACTCTACGTAATTCGATCTTGAAGATCCGCACATCGGATTTATGATCCATAACTTCCCAAAGTCCACATTATGCTTCTAGAATAACATACTAAAATTTTATTATGATCCAACGGTCGGATTGTTGTCAATCACACAAACAAGTGGCGGTCCAAGTTGATCACCACACCACAAAATTGAATTTTTGGAAACCGAGCTAGACATAGGTTCACAGGGTCACTAGAAGGTATTTGAAACTTAGACAACACTCGTGAACGATCCCACGCACCGCCACACATGGTGGTAGTCAAGATGGATGGTTTAGAAATCCCAAATTTTCAACATTAACTAGATGAGCTCAACTTTACGTGGTAGTTAGAGCTCAACAAGAGAAACACTTTTCACAACTAGGCCGCGCGATAATTTCTAACCGGAAACCGTCCAAATTCACAGGAGAAAACCGGATTTCTAGGGTTCTAAACACCCAACTCTAAAATGAATACAAAAGCACAAAATAAGCATACCAACTTGAAGATTATGAAGAGTAGATGAAGTTTCATACCTCACTCAAAGGAAGGGGTTGTTGGAATCATCAGAAAAATGATAAAACCGCCGGAAAACTCGTGGGCTTTGCAGCTTCAAACTGCAAATATGGAAAAGAAATTGGGAAATCTAACACCACAGAGGTGTAGGGTTCGTCAAGAGCTTTCCATGGACATCAAGATCACCCAAAACGGAGTTCGGATGAAGAAGATACAAGCAGATCAAGTTTTGTGGGTTTACGGGTCCAAGTCTCTCCTAAAACGGGTTAGTAGCAGCTCCCATGCCCACTTTCAGAAAACCTCCCCCTTTTCTGGAGGTTTCATAGGGGTGGGTTCGGTTGTTTTTTGCCAAAACCGAAACCAAACCGAAATTTCGGTTCGGTTCATTTTTTTTTCGGTTCGGTTTTTTTCGGTTTCGGTTTTTTCCGGTTCGGTTTTGGTTTTTTTTCGGTTTTTTATTTTTATTTTTAAATGATGTAAATGGAAGGAACCTACCTATCAACCTCCCAGTTCTCATATATCAGAGAATTGAGAGCCTTAAAATCCTGAATATATTCAAGTAATTCAACTACTTGTGATCAAGCAGAACGAATTCAAATTTTCAAAAGTTAAGCAAATACATAAACATATATTCTTCAAGGAAATGTACATCGCCAGGATTCAAAATTCAAAAACTTTAAAATTTACAAAATCATGAAATAACTCAACAAATTAACTGATCGATGCAAATCGGAAAAAAAAAAAAAAAAGCAATTTGGTTCTTCTAAATACCATAATCGGACTTCAATAGCGCGTGCCCAGTGCCCACATTCAAATTCATAGTCAAGTCCACAATAGATCTAGAAAATTCCAAAACATATTTAGAGAAAAATACAAACTTTTTCACCTTAAATTACATAAATTTCAAATGGGTAACCATACAATTAAAAACCTATGAACTGACAAATAAATAAAACCACAACCTTTGTTGCAGCGATATAGCCATGATCGTCGCAAGCTCTTTCAATTCCTCTTTTTGTCGGATCTAGAAAAGGGCGAGGGAAAATCATGGTTTGGAAGAAGGAATCCGCGAGGAGGACAGGAGAAGATTGGAAAGAGAGTGATTTGGAGGAAGAGAGGAAGGAGAGGGAGAGGGAGGGAGAGAGAGAGAGAGAGAGAAAGAGAGGAAGCAAAGGCAAAGAGGAAGCAGCGGACGGAACAGAGAGGTGTTTGAGATCTGAAATGAAATGGGAGTGAGACAGCTAGGGTTTGTAAAGTTAAGAAATAGTCCTTTTGCTGGAAGTTCGAATGGCTTCTAGTATGGATGTGTCTCAGCTTCGCCTGATGCTCGAGATCATCTCAATCCCCTCTCCCTAATGGTATGGTCGAGCAATCACCCGCTAGTTGAGTGTGAAACCTTGGTCCCTAAGATTTGAAATCAATAGAAGTAGTTCCTGAGATTGCCCACCATCAATCATTTTAGTCATTCCATGAAAAAAATATGTTAAATAAGGATCAAAATGACAAAAATACCCTCAATTTAATAAACAATATGACAAAATGATTTGACAAAAAATAAGGGTATTTTTGTCATTTTATTCCTATTTAATGGAGATTTTTCATGGAATGACCAAAATGAGTGATGGTAGACGATTCAGGGACCAATTCTAGCAATATCAAATCTCAGAGACCAAAGCGATGAGTGTAAATCTTAGGGATCATTTTGGCTAAATAGCCTAATTATTAAGGTGAACTACGAATGACTTGATCCCGTTTAGGGTACATAGGCAGCCTAGTCTAAGGATTGGATGCAGCTATGAAATAAAAGGAAAATTTATTAAACTTTTGAACTGTTGGTCTCTATTTTCTTTGTCATGTCTCAAAAGCGGGGCATGATAGATGAATAAGTATGTGGTAACGCGCCATGTATCGATCGTAAATGTATCTCGGGATTGAGGTGTGACAGATTCAATTGGAGATCAATCACCAACTTTGATTTGATGACTTATTCAATTCGATGTCATATGTATTCTCCCCACGATTTTGGTACCTAACCTGGATATGGTATGTTAGTTTGAATAAGGAGGAAGGTGGACAAAGGATCCTCGGCGGCAAGCGACGAGGAACGATAGTGGCCGCTGGCGAGGTAAGGTGGTTGTTGGGGTTGGATTCGTATTGGTAGGGAGTTGGATGTGTCGTGTTCTCTCATTCAATGGTATGAATTTTTTATTATTTTTTTTAAAACACAAAATAATAGTACTTAACACTATTAACATTGTGTTAAACACGTATCAAGTAGACAGATAAGAAATATTGAAAAAGACACAAACTTGAGGACAACAGACCGCACATGATAAACAAAAGCTAATCAATTGATTAAAGACGTGCAAGAAAATAGGTCTAATAGCTAGGATTACAAATCAGCATATTTTTATTTTTATACTAGCATACCCTGAAGATTATAAATTGATATAAACATGTAAATGCATATAATCCCTCGATTATAGGATTAACTAGAAAATGTGCTTGCGCTTTGCTGCGGGCGTTGAATGTGAAATTCCGTTCTTGGATTTCACTATTTAAAATTACGTATTTCGTATTCTTAGTTTCAACGCGTATATAATTACAGCGTATAGTTTTTTTTTTTTTGATAAGTAAAATGATGAAAACACCCTTAATGAACTAAACGGACTTTTTGAGGACGTATTTTATTCCTAAATGTTTTGTCACTTTTATTTACATATTTGGATAGAGCTCGACCTCACGAGTGCGTAGGCGAAAACCATTCGCCAAACGGAACTATAACGAAACAAGATATAAACGAGCAAAGATGAACGAAATGGTCTGGAGAAATCCGTTTGTCCTGCTTAATTCCAAAGTAACGCGGTTGAGGTTCGGCTTTATATAATTATACATGTATGTATGTATGTATGTATGTACATGTATATATGTAAATGCATGTAATGTGCATGTATGTATGTATGTATGGGTAGACAAAATCCCACATTAGAGAGGAACCAGGTAATGTATGATTTCTTTTTTCTTTTCTTCCGCTAGTTCACTCCATTCACTTTAGTTTCAATTTATCGCTAATGTGGACAACCATAAATCTTCTTCTTGGTCTTGCTTTTTCAGCAACATGTTGGGATTGTGATGTCATTACATTAGCCTTTCTTGTGACTTGATTCACGTATCCGTTTCGATTCACCTATTCCACTTAAAGACCAAAATTTAAATAAGAAAAGTAATTAGCCATCTCAACAAATTCATTACTATAAAATGATGGCCAGTTGTAAAATTAAAATTCATGAGACAAATTATAATAAAAGTTCAAGGGGAAAATTTGCAAATTTTAAGAAATCAGGCGGTATTCGGCTAAAATTAAAATTTAGAGAGAAATTAGCAGCTCCATACAAGTTCAAGAAAAAAAAAATCGTCTAATATCTCATGTGTACTTTAAAAGTATGTGTTTCGCTGCTAATTACCCCGAGACCTTCAATTATAACTTTAATAGAGTAGCTAACATTGGTTGTATCTTCTATAATCATCAACCCACCCTATAGTGAAAAAAAAAAAAAAAAAAAACCTAAAAATATAGATAAGTTTTTTGTTAATTTTTTTTATTTTGATGCAACGATATATAGGTTAAGGATTGAAAGAATAAATTTTTGTAGAAATCACTATTTATGAGAATCGAATTTAACAATTTTCTTAACCTATGGCATTCAAATTTAATAAATCGAACAAAAAAAAGGATCAAAATTAAATAAGAGTATTTGAGAGGCTAAACTAATATGTTTATCATTTTCCTATTTTCTTTTGTATACAAAGGAAACTGTTATAAACTTGTGGAACCTATTTTTTCAGTCACTAAAGTAATTTAAATATATATATCTATATATATATATATATCTGATCAATAAAGTAATTGTCATATATTTGTTTTTAAGCTGAAAATCCAACAAAAAAAAATCAAGTGTGGCGTAGATTTGTTCGGAGAGTTGAAAACTGACAGTGATTGACGGTTTCGTCTTGGTCTTCTTTGACTATGTATGCCAGGATTGAGATGCCGTGTGAAAATGAAGGTTTCTGGATGGAGTTTTTAGCCTAACTTTGTTCTTACTCGTCATTTTCTTCAAATTTTCAATAATTACATTAAATATTTAGTCTTCACGCTTCTTGGAACAACTGTTTCTTTTGTGGGTGTGGATTGAATATTCTTCTCCAAGTTCAAATATTTAGTGTTCGCTCCTCTTGGAAAAATGTTTCTTTTGTAGGTCTGGATTGAATCTTCTTCTCCCAGTTTGTGGTCACAAATTCAAGGATGAAAGAATTGGTTTCCATGGAAATATCTTTTTGTCAGAAAACTTCGGTGGTATGAAATTTTTTTGTATTCATAATGAAAAAAGAAGTTGTCTCTAGTTAGCGGGATATAAACCTTACTCCTCCTAAAACCAACAAAAAAAAAATATATGAAAAAGAAGGAGGGACATAAATCTTATCTCTCTAGAAAACAAAACAAAAAAAATACAAAGAAAAGAAAGAGGAGACATGAAACCTAAACTCTCTAAAGCCAAATCTAAAATGTCTAAACCTACAAAACAATTCGAACGACACCACAAAGTTAGGATAAAAAACAAGAAAGTGAAACAAACCTGAATGCTGAGATGCATGTTAATTTGAGAAGCTGCAGCCAGGCAATCCAACATAATCTGAAAGCAAAGCATGAGCCGCTGACGGCGGGTAATCATGCTATGTTAAAGTTGGAGAAGACAAGTTTATGTTAGCAAATTATCCACAACAAAATTTTTTTCGCGATATATGTGAGATGCGTGGAAAATTATTTTTTGAATGCGGTCCAAATAAATAAACCAATGCGTACGAAGAGACCAAATGTGTATGTGAATACTCTTTTCCACTGGACTCTTCCACTCTAGTTTCAGCCCTTCGAATTTTCACTGGAAGATCATAGTTTTAGATATTCTTTTGTAGGCCATATAAAATGACAGTTGGTGGTGGTTGTCTTTTTAACATCACCCCTTCAATATTCCTTTTTATTTTTCATGACCGACTGTATACCTTATAAAAATTTTCTGTTCTTAACATGTAACTTTGCATTACAAAGTTCATTTATCTATCGACATAAATATTTAAGAGAAGGTTACTTGTCAACTACAATTTTTTTCATAGATGAATTGTCAATTTTGTCTCTAAATTAGCACTTAAGTGAAAATTAGGTCTCTAAATTATTTTTTTGAGAAAAATTAATATAAATCACTTAGTACTAGTATCTAGTGTTGATACTCTTCATTTATAAGTGGAAGCATCTTGTGACTCTTCTCCACATGTCGTAAGAAATTCTTATGTTAGAGACCTAACTTGTCTTTCCATGATGCAATCTGTGAAAATTAAACTTTAGCTGATGTTTGGTATTTTCTTTCTTTACTTTATTGATCAAAACATTTGTTTAGAACACGTAACTCTGGATTTATCTACATGCAGGAACAAAGTTCCCTTTCAAAATAATGAAAATTAACATTGTCGGTGTTCCAAATACACAAAAAAATTTCTCCACACAATCAACATAAAACAAACTTGTGCTTAAATCAAACCAAAACAGCTACATATATTAATATCAATGATGGAGTGAGATTGACTTTGCAGTTTATACAATAAAATTAAAAACAAAAACAAAAAACCTTCATTTTTTTTAGCGAGGATATAGCTCAGTAATTGAGTCCTCATTTATCGACACATGCTCAGGGTTTTTAGATTCATATGATTGTGTTCGTTCCATCGTGTCTGCTTCACTGTTGTGCAAATAATATGCAGGTCTTGAAGGTAATGGGAGTGTCATAGAATGACTATTAAGCATCGAAACAACTGAAGTCATTGTCGGTCTGCTAGCCACATTTTCTTGGACGCAAAGTAAACCAATGTGGATGCATCTTATCGTTTCAGTTCCTAATCCCGTCGTTAGCACAGGGTCTATGATATTTGACACGGTATCCTCCTTCCAATTTCTCCATGCCTATAATAAAAGTTGAGAAGTACATTAATGAAAGAAAGTTCATATACTAAGAGTTAAATAATGTGTAAAAGAGTATATTCTTACTCACATAGGTTAAAAGGTCCTCTTCATTCTCAGCACTGCGGAAACTGGTAATCTTTCTACCACTTAAGATCTCAAGGACTAACACGCCAAAACTAAAAACATCCGATTTGACAGAAAAACGACCATGAATCGCATACTCCGGAGCCATA